GTGCCTTGCTGAGTGAGTTCAAGATTTGTCAGAGGTTTTGCAGGCTGCAGTGGCTTTTAGGAATGGTCTGAAAGAGATAAGTAGATGCAGCTCTGTTCTTGGAGAGCTACAGGGTTTCCATGCTAAAGTTCCCTTGCTACTTGCTAAGAGATGAGTACAGTTATCAACTGACTTGCAGATAAGTCTTTAGTCACCATATCGATAATGAATTGCAATAAAAAAAAAAAAAAAAAAAAATAAAATCAAAGCTATCGTCAGTACCTTTCTAGATGCTGCTAGTACTTGCAGATACCGTCATGGTGCTGGGGCACAACGTTAAAACAAACTGTACCCTTCTTTGCTGCACCATCCCTAGAACAATCACACTGGTACTTAAAAAAAGCTCCAAAAAGGCGGCACATCTGCTTCACGGGTTGGGTGGGCCTAAGCCTTTCTTAGTTACTAGAATTACAAGTTTCAACCCACAACATGGAAACAGACTCCAATGAACAGGAGAAAGGGGTCTGGAGAGGGGCTCAGATTTGATCTGGGTGCAGAAGTGGTGTAGTTTGAAGCCCAAACTAAAGCGTTCCAGCTGCAAGTCAAACCCAGGAATGCATCGTGCAAGGTCTTATTTTTCTGTAGGGCTAGTAACATGAGCATTCAAATCATTCACTGCCTTTGAAGCCTGTGAAATCCATAATGGCCACAAAGTGAACATGTAGCAACTACATTTCAATTACCAAAGGCTGGTCAAGTACCTGGCTTTATTCTCTCCAGTAACAAAACTCCCTTCGACTTCAAAGGGGTTGGGATTTACTCCACAGTGCGAGTGCTGGGTCCAATGAAATTGGAGATGTAACTCTGGGACGAGGTATTTTAGATTCTGAAGGTGCAGACAGATGGGCAGGATCAAGCTCTGGTGTTGAGGGGAGTTGCAAAGTCTGCATTTTTTCTGCAGCTTCAGGTTAATAAATTGAGGATGATGCCCTGACTGACAGTCTGCCCCAGAACTGCACGGGCACTTTTTGAAAATACACAAGTTCCTATCAGTTGCAATAGGAGTTGGGTATCCAACCTGCTTGGCTGCTGTTAGAAATCCCACTACATACCTGTGTGTCTCTTCAGCACTTACGTCCCTTTGAAGTTCTTTCTTTAGCCATTGCTGACAACAGTGGAGAGTCTGAGGGTAATGGATATTTCTTTTGCAAAGTAGTTCACAAACTGTTTCATGATTCCACTGTAGAAGTATCGAAGATCATTTTTCTCAGGCTTATATCCATAAGCTTTATTTTGACATGTTTCCTGGGTAGATGCCCGAGATAAATGACCTTCAACACCTTGCAGCAAGCCTTGTGCCCTGTGATGTGCGTTCCCTAGCACAGGAATCTGCTTTGCTTTCCTGCAGCAGCCAGGAGGGAGGAGATGGAGGCTCGAGCAGGACCCGGCTCCCTGATGGCAACCTTTAGTTCCCACTAGCAGGGTTTGTGACCACAAACAGGGACTTGACGTCCTGCTGCTCAGCCCCCTTCTCAAGCCAGT